GTCATTCTCATTAGAGTCGAGGTGATTGAGCTCTGGATATCGAAGCGTCACAATTAGACCGCAACTTCTGATCGTTAGACACGAGCGGTCCGTTTGACGCTGTGAGGCAATAACGTCTCGATTTGTCGAGAAATGCACAGAACAATGCGGTCCTTGTCTTTTGTGTGAAGCACATAGAATGCCCTAACTAAATCTGTCGCGCTGAGCTCGATCATATTAATCAAGTTTAGCATGTGGGCTTTTTCGTCGTTGGCACGATGTCTGAACACACCCTATCAGTCATTATCGCCGCTGTTTCGCAAGCACAAACAAATGAGCTCAAAATGCGAATCGACTTATTCACCTAATGCTTCAAAATTGTGAAGGCGTCTTGGCGCGCTTAAACCGCTACATTGATTCTGATCGAGACCAGCTACGCCGACCCGATTGGCAGGAGAAGATGGCAAGTAGTCTCGCGTCGAATGTCTATCCGACTCTTCTTTGTTAATGGATTCCACTTCAGGGTCGTCGTTTTCACGATATTCATCATCACGAAATTTCACAACCTTACACGCTGCAGGCGATGATTTGTCTGCTTGACTAAAAGAAACTTTAGTGACTCGAACCGCATTGCATGAACTTGTTGACTATACGATGAAGCTTGCATCATGAGGCAGCCAACAAGTGCTTCTCTTTCTCTGACGAAGAAGCGGTGGCCAGTTGGTGCATACTCCATGGCTGTGGGTAGGGATACTTATGTGACAGGGCGATCATCCTACATGCCACAAGCATCAAGTTAATGCTAATTGATTGCGACAAGAAGTATATCGTGGCGAACCATCGTTACGGTAGAGGGTAGTACGGAGATGATGATGCTATCGAATTGGCATGATGAAGAAGCTGACAATACGCTTGTCAGCCGAAAAGCGACAATCAGTGACAAGCATGCGCAATGAGTGGTTTGAAGGTTCAAAAGGCGTACCCGTATTTGAGATGGTGTGAAGTAGCTTTACAACATGTTGCAGTACAAGGCGTGATTATGCGAAAACCGGATTTCTCCTTTCGTATTGCTAAGCGTTGCCATTTTCTCCTGTCTAGCCTCAATTACAAAGCCGTGGTGTGAGATCTCGAGGCCTTCTGTCGATACTACCATCAGTGTGCATATGCTACAACTATGTCAGTACTGTATAAGCATAATATGTGCGTAACATATCGCTTGTGTCCATCATATTGCATCTGTGGCACCGTCACAAAATCGTGTCTTTTCCTCGAGACTTTGGACCGCTCTCGTTGTTGGCGCATTGTCCGTCCTCTTACTTGGTCATCTTGCACATGAAATGCACGCTCTGAGTTTATGGGTGCTATTTCCACTCATATTCTACAAAGAATTCTCTCATACATCAACGTGTGTCAATCCAGTGGCGTGTTCGCATGTTGCAACGTTTCACTCGTATCGCACTAGCGATCGACCGAGCAAATTATTATCGAATCACCCTCTTTTCTACGTTACACCACGTCGCGGCTGTCTTTTCATTTCCTTTGAGCTCGTAAACCGGTTAGCTTGGGTACTTATAATGATTTTTTCTTTTATGTAATGTTCGTCGAGCTTTCGAGTCAAAGCCAACAAAGTCTCGACATTTTGCTCGTTGTAGTACTTCACCAGCGTCGTCCATATTTCTTGGTCGTATACAACAAGTGTCACTTTGCGGTTGCTGCTCCCCTTCAATCCCTTGACCGGTAACTGCATAAGTTTCATTCTCTTGACTATCCACTCTACCCCTGACTCGTCCTCAGGCTCCGATCCCATTATGTGGTTTGACGCGCCCCTATATTCTCGGGTCACTATTGTGTTAAATTTCAATGGAAGTGCTGCTTTTTTCGGAGCTAGTCATCTGGTCTTCTTCATATTCTCTCTAGCGCCAGCAAACGCGTTTTAAGACTCATTACCTGACATTTTCGATGAAGGAAGGGAAGTAGGTATGCTTGCAGATCAGTGCGCTCCTGCGGACCACCATGACTTGTATCACAATTTGTGTACCGCACCATACTGTCAACGTCATGAGTTTCGTCATGTTGCAGGGCAGCATTGGTGTGCACTCCACCATACGAGCGCCGGTCTGGCCGATACGTCTGTATCTCGAGAAGGTAAGACTACTTACCGCGAAGTTTTGGGATCTTCTAGAGCATCCCATTTGGCAGTTGTGTTACAAACTCGAAACGAAGGCAAAAGTCTAGGACCACAAACTCACAACTTCAGCATGACACCTGTCGACTTGTTTTAGCAATGCTTACGGGCGTACCAGCGGTGGAGTACATATCTTCGATCTGATTAATCTCACTCAATCTGAAGAGTCAAGATCGTATTTTTACGGCACGAGACTATGATTGTCTCGATTTAGATTGTATCACCATGTCATCATTTGCATCACAATGTAGCCCTTTACGTCTCGACCATCGGGATCGAAGCGTGGTTTCTTCGTCTTGATGATGAGTCTGTCGCAGTGTTTGCCGCACGGGCGAACCGTTCAGACCAATGGCACCGGTAAAGTGCGTCCGTTTGGACGAAGTGGAACGCACTGGAGGTGGCCCTAGTCGTGCACTATGATCGTCGGTTGTCGTGCTGATTTTTCGCGGCCAGATGAAGGGGCCAGTCGTACTTACTGTACTATGCCCTTGCGCCTTGTGACGTCAGAAACATGCACAGCGTCCAGTCGAAACGGCATTTGGTACATCATGTGCGTTTGGAAGATGGGTCATCACCGAGATGGAGCACGCATCGTCTCGTCTTGCGAGTAAACTGTGAGCGAAGAACGAGTTGAGTCTTCCTACACTTAATAAACTCGTGCACTACAATGCAAGGACGGCAGACCATGTTGCTTGTGGTCGCGTTATCTTCGCTGCCGACCCCGTCGCGAGCTAACGGTACGTTGGTTCGTTCATAAGAATGTACCTTTTGCAGGTTTTCCCTGCAGATTCCATGTATTACGGCTATGTCGGAAGGGAACATGGGACCACCAACGACACTGGCTGCGTTATGCTGATGTTCTCGAACGAAAGCGCGTCGACACAAAAACTTTTTGAGCTGTTTACCGTACTAGTGGCAGAGGATGTTGGACGACAACGACATTTTTCTTGCTTGCAGCACTTTCGAAAGTGTTGATAAAGTCGTGCTGTATCCGACAGACTGGCAGTCGCCTGAGCCGATTTGTGAGAGTGCATGTAGGCCAAGACTCGTAAACTCGTGGTGGCTCATCCTGTACAGACGCAGCTGATAACGCACTGCTGTAACAAGCTAGCTGCTGGTAAAAGTGTAACATACAACACTGCATTGATCGGTCTTGCTTACTACACACAGAGCCCTTTACGAGCGATCAAAGCACAGGATCGATTGATTGGTAGACAGCCCATCTCATGGCTGGTAGAAGTCGTGCCTGCAGCCATCGTGATGAACGAAACAGGTAATCCAAGTGGCACATGGGCGACTCAGCGCAACTCCTTCGCATCTGTTTGCTCTATCGAACCCTTCAGATGAGCCTCGTGGCATCAACGCAAGCTCTTCTATGCAGTGTCATGCAAGCAGCCGCAGCGAGACTTTCGTGGTCGCTCAGAACGTCGGGCCATGCTACATACCCCCCCCCGTTCTAGCGACATGTAAAGACGTCCGTCAACAGATGCAAACGAACGACAAGACCTTTTTTCATTACTCTTTTTCTACTCAGAGCGATACTTCTCACGTCTCCGTAGCGACTGCTTCTAGGAAAACTGCCGATACAACTGATCTTGCGCCTTCCGTTCCAGACGGAACGGCGTTTTCCATTGCAACGTGCGTGCACATGACGAAAAGAGACCTCTGCCGCGTTCGCCTTCTACATGCCATGGCGTCCGTCAACTGTGTTCCCTACGGAGCTCGCGGGCGGGAGAACGTCGAAACGAGACATCCACGGCAACATGTCCCAAAAGCCATTGCGCGACGTGTCTGTCTCTCGGTCTGTCCAGTCTCACCGGCAGACATCTACACAGGTACACGTCCGTCGTGACCAGCAGCACACTATTCAGCTGGCAGCCGAACCAGCAGACGCGCACGTTCAGTGCAAAGGACATGTGCACTGGTGAAATACACTCCACGCGGAGGGAGCTCGCAATGACCGCCCCCAGACGTCGTCTCTCGTGCTTCACTATGGACCTGTGGCGAGCGCTGGGCCAAACAAGTCCATGTGGCGCACGACCGCTGTCGTCCGATCGTCGTGCACAGAAACTCGGCTGCACGCACATAGCCAGGCCACCGACCGCCCTCGCGCGTCCTTGGGCACTAACTCACTCGGGTCTTTGTTTGCGCAGCGCACACGGCTATGTGCACGTTCGATCGCAGCCTGTCGCTTCTGCCGCGACCGTGCCGTGCCTTTGTGACGTACGACGGCGTAGCGCAGTCGTGTTACGGCACCGACGGGAAGTAGAAAAAAACTGGCCATCTGTCCGATCCCTCAAGTTTGGAGCAAGTCGGAGCTAAGTCGACTTGCGCCGCCGAAACGAGGCGTCCGTCGTGCGACCGGTTGTCTGTTGTCACGTTGTCGCGTCGTTGTTGCCGTCCTGCGGCCACGTTATTGCCAATCGAGTGCGTCGTGCAGCAACTTTAGCACGAACTGCTGTCGTCGAAGGGGTAGGTGACGGTTTTGCGCGCGCAGAAATAAGACGGCAGAGAGCCCCGCCCGCACTGCGCGAGGGGGCGCCACACCCTCTGTCCCCCTCTCGCGCAGCATTGCGCACGCGCGCTCTCTCTCTTTCCTTTCCTCTCCTTTCCTCTCCTTTCATTTCCTTTCCTTTCCCTCACAACCAAACTGAACCGTCATCTCGCGCGCGCAATCGAGTGCGTGCGTGCGGAAAGGGAAACCGCGCGGACCATCACTCTTGCTTGCCCTTGCCGCAGGTCACGCAAGCTTATATAGACCAGCAGTGAGGCCAGTCGTCCAGCAGTCGGTCCAGCAGCAGCAGCAGCAACAGTCACCGCATCCATTGCTGGGACGATGGCCACGACGCCGGGCGGCAACGCGGACCGCCGTCGCGCGGGCTCCAACTACTTCCAGCTGGACGCCGACCGCAAGCGCAACGCGTCGACGAACCGCAGCCACTTGAACCACGGCGAAGGCCGCGGTACGTTTGGCGAGCGGCTCAGTATGATGGACGTCGTGGCGCCCATGACCCCGGGCGGCCGCGAGGTGCGCGGCGGCGGCCTCGAAGGCGACTTTGCCGACGAAATGTCCATTGACTTTTGCTGCGAGGTGCTCTACAACAAGTTTGGCTTCCAGACGGGCTCAGTGGACAACCAGCGCGAGCACGTGCTGCTCTTGCTCGCGAACGCCAAGGCGCGCTTGCGGCCGCAGGACCCGCCGGGCCACCACGTCGTGGCGCTGCACAAGAAGCTCATTAGCAACTACACCGAGTGGTGCGAGTTCCTCCACGTGTCGAGCGTCACGTACGTGGGCGAGGCGCGGGGCGACCTCAAGAGCTCGCTCCATATGGACATTATGCTGTTTTTGCTGCTGTGGGGCGAGGCCGCCAACTTGCGCCACATGCCCGAGAGCTTGTGCTACCTCTACCACCAGTCGCTCACGCTGTTGAACCAGGACTTTCTCGGGCAGCAAAAGGTATCGGAAGGCTGGTTCTTGCGCCAGGTCGTGCGCCCGATCTGGAAAGAAGCGAGCAACATGCAGCGGAAGAACAGTCTCGGCAAGAACTTGGAGCACACGCAAGTGCGCAATTACGACGACATTAACGAGTACTTTTGGAAAAAGTACTGCCTCAACATTGACCTGACGCAGATTGGGGCCGAGCTGACCAAGAAACACACCAAGACGTACTACGAACATCGCAGTATCTTTACGCTCGTGCTGAATTACTACCGCATTTTCCAGTTCAACATGATGTTCATGATGGTGCTCATGGCCATTGGCTTCATCACAGCGATCTCGCCCAGCGGCGGACAACAGTGGTTTGCCCAGTTTGAGTCCATGGGCGAAGTCGTCAAGCCGTACCGGCAGCAAGATGTCAAGCTCACGTACGTGGGCATTGTGTTTGCACTTTCATCCATGGGATTCTCCAAGACTGTTCTTGAAGCGTGCCACGGCTGGCAGTTGCTCACTGCTAGTGAGTCGTCGCAGACATCGTCGCGATCGCTCAACTACGGTGGCGCGCTGGTACTTCGGATGCTTTGGAATGGCGCATTTGCAGGCATTTTTGGCTTGATGATCTACACGCCGCTTATCACGCGGAACAATACGGAGCTACTGGACATGGCTGCGCCAGCGACGGTAGCCTACATATTGCCGGGTGCGTTGATTATTATCGTCCAGGCCTTTGCACCATCGATGATCACGAAGTCGTTTGCAGCCAAGTTCATTCGCGAGGGTGAATCCTGCTTTGTTGGACGCAACATGGCGCCTCCATTGCAGTTCCAGATTCGGTACATCATATTTTGGTTGGTGCTGTGGTCGCTGAAGGCGTTCGTGTCGTATTTTATCCTGGTTCGTCCGCTGGTGCTCCCGTCGCTCGCCATATACGAAATGAAACTCGAGTACGGCAGCGACGTGGTGTCTTTCCACAACTTTGGTGTGATTGCCGCGTTGTGGTTGCCGGTGATCTTCATCTTTAACTACGATACCCAGATTTACTTTACTGTGTTCCAAGCTTCGCTTGGTGGCATCCAAGGTCTGATGATGAAGACCGGTGAGATTCACGGCATCAAGGAGATAACTAAGGCTTTCCGCGTGGCTCCCCAGCTTTTCGATCAAAAGGTGGTGACCAATCTCGCTCGCTCGAACGATGCTGCTGCCGACGGCTCTGCTGCTGCGTATCAGTCACAGATGATGCTGCGATTCGTGGTCGTCTGGAATGAGATTGTGAACTCGTTTCGAGAGGGAGACCTCGTGGATGACAAGGAAGCAGCTATATTGCAGTATGACATCCAGAGCTCTGGTGACGTCTTTGAGCCTGTGTTTCTTTCTGCCGGCAAGCTCGTGGAGGCTCTTGACTACACTGTGAAGCTTGGGAAAGAAGGCAAGGGCGACTCGCAGCTGCAGGTGTACATGGTACAAAAAGACTGCTTGTCGGCCGTGCGCAGCTTCTTTACCGCCAGCATGTACGTGATGGAAGCTCTTCTGGGAAGTGACGATGCCGACATTCTCGACGCGCTTCGCCAGATGGAGACGATTGCTGCAAACGGTAGCTTTATGAGCACGTTTGACGCGAAGAGCTTGGTGCAGCTGCGCACGGTGTCCATGGAATTTTTGGAGGCTGTAATGGATCTCCCTGACCCAGATGCTCAGTCTTCACACTTGGCGACGTCAAGGGTCCACACGATGGGCGTCGTTCGCAATTTTGTGACAAAGATGGAGAATTTGCTCAACGCTATTCGTATCTTTGCGAACCGCCCCGAGCTTGCTGCGAAGTTCAGCAACTCCAGGTTTTGCACTAGCGCAAACGGCTACGTGTTTGCTGCGCGTGGCCTCGTAAACCTGTTTCACAACGACACAGCGATGGGTGCTGCTACCCGTGCGTATCTTTTGATGTCGCTCGAGAAGGCTGATGCGATGCCACGCGTTCCGGAGGCTCAGCGTCGTCTTGGCTTCTTCATGAAGTCTCTTTTGATGGACATTCCGCAGCTTCCGTCCGTGAAAGAGATGCATTCGTTCTCTGTTGTTACGCCGTATTACAGCGAGAGCGTGTTGATTTCTCTGTCGGAGTTGAATGACCCGTTGGTGAACCACCCTGTGTTTGAGAAGGTCGAGGAGAAAGGCAAGAACATTACTATCCTGAAATACCTCATTACAATTCACCCCGAAGAATGGGAGAACTTTCTAGAGCGTATTGATGTGAGCACTGCCGAGGAAGCTCAGGCGAATTTCCCGCTGGAGATTCGTTTGTGGGCTTCGTACCGTGGCCAGACGCTGGCGCGTACCGTCCAGGGCATGATGCTGTATGAGGATGCGATCAAGATTTTGCACTGGTTGGAGATTGGCTCAAGTCCTGGCAAGTCGGCTGAGCAAAAGCAGGCTCAGCTGGAAGACATGGTGCGCTTGAAGTTCTCGTACATATGTGCATGTCAAGTGTACGGCAAGCATCGGGCGGAGAATAAGGCTCAGGCTGACGACATTGACTATCTACTGAAGACGTACCCGAACTTGCGCGTGGCCTATGTAGATACCATTGTTCATGATGAAGGCAAGCAGTTTGACACCGTGTTGATCAAGAGCGAGGGAAATGAGATTGCCGAGGTATACCGTTACGAACTGCCTGGTGACCCAATTCTTGGCGAAGGTAAGCCCGAGAATCAGAACAATGCGCTCCCGTTCACGCGCGGCGAGTATCTCCAGACCATTGATATGAACCAGCAGCATTACTTTGAGGAGTGTCTCAAGATGCCGCAGCTTCTGGTGACCGCTGACCTGCATCCTTCGAAGAAGCCAGTGTCAATCATCGGCATGCGTGAGCATATTTTCACGGGCAACGCGTCGTCGCTGTCGAAGTTCAAGTCGTGGCAAGAGCTGGTGTTTGTGACCCTCTCCCAGCGTGTGCTGGCCGATCCACTGTACGTGCGGATGCACTACGGTCACCCCGATATCTTCGACAAGGTCATCGCGATGCCTCGCGGTGGTGTATCGAAGGCTAGTAAGGGCATCAACTTGTCAGAGGATGTGTTTGCTGGCTTCAACTCAACGCTTCGGGGTGGTGTGGTGACGCACGTAGAGTTCATGCAGTGTGGCAAGGGTCGCGATGTGGCTCTTTCACAGATATCTATGTTCGAGGGTAAGCTGGCAAATGGTGCTGGCGAAACGTCTCTTGCCCGCGAAGCTCACCGCATGGGCCAGTTTATGGACTTCTTCCGTCTGAACTCGATGTACTACTCGCACACCGGTTTTTACTTCGCCACGTGGATGACAATCGTAACGACGTTCGTGTACATGTATTGCAAGGTGTATTTGGCACTGGCTGGTGTGCAGCAGCAGGTGGTATACAACATGAACTCAACGGCTGTGATAACAGACAACATTGCGAACAACTTCGATGAGCGAGTGTTCAAGGATTTGAAGGCCGTGCTCAACACCCAGTTCTACATCCAAGCCGGTTTTTTCCTTATGCTTCCGCTCATGTGCGTGTATTTTGGTGAAGGTGGTTTAGTACGGGGTATGACGCGTTTTGTGGACATGATCATAACGCTCGGACCCGCGTTCTTCGTTTTCCAAGTGGGTACGACGATGCACTACTTCGACAACAACATTGTGCACGGCGGTGCCAAGTACCAGGCAACAGGTCGTGGTTTCAAGATCTCACGTGAGACGCTGGTGCTGCTGTATAAGGCATACGCAAGTTCACATTACCGGAAAGCCTGGGAGCTGATGGGTTTGTGCCTCGTGTACGGAGTGTTTGGTAACTTCTACATTTGTCAAACGGATGCTTCTGCAAACGACAACACGTTCGCGTCGGATTATTGCGAGACTGCTCAGGCCTACGGTGTGCAGACGTTCTCTGTGTGGTTCATCTCGATTTTATGGGTGATTGGCCCGTTCCTGTTCAATAGTGACGGTCTTGACTTGAAGAAGACGAAAGTAGACGTCCAACAGTGGTGTACATGGATGTTTGCTGAGGAGAGTTACAAAGACGATGATCCAGCAAACAAGGGTGGCTGGATAGGCTGGTGGAAGGGAGACCTCGAACAGCTCCACAACTCGAACATGATTTCGCGGGTCACTGTCGTGCTTCGCGAGTGCCGACACTTTCTGCTGATGTTTTACGTGGCTACTCTTGAAACGTCCGATGTGATGTACGTGGCGTACTCGTTTGGCGCAGCTGTAGCGACGGTCGCCCTCCTGGGCGTATTCCATGTTTTTGGCATGAGCTTGCGGTCGATGAAACCAGTCGCTCGCGCTGTAGTCTACCTTGCCACAATGCTCGCCATGAACACCGCGTACTTTTTGGCTACCTGGATCATCATGGGTTGGACTTTCAAGTACTCAGTTTCGCTATGGTTTGCGTATGTGGCTGCCCTGTACGGCATCAACGAATGCTTCCGCATGTGGAGTTTCCCGGGCTCATCGATTGCTAGCGTTTCGGTTTTCCAGCAGCTGCAATTTCTGTTCGACTTTATTTTCTGCACCGGTATGATCATCCCTCTGGTAGTCATGTCATGCGTTCCGTTTTTGAACATTATCCAGACACGCATGATGTACAACGAAGGGTTTTCGAAGGTCATGTCCGCGTCGTCGCAGTACGCCTTCTCTCTAGCAGCTTTTATGGGTGTTTTGGGTGGCACCGGCATTGGCTGGCTCTTCAACCTCCTGTCGACGCTAGAGCAGTCAGCCAGTTTTGCAAGTTACGCAGTGACGTATGATGGTGTGCTCAGTGGAAACGTTGGCGACGGCACGACTACATACATGCTCTATATCGCATGTGTGGTGGGCACGATCATTGCTGGTTTCTTGAACTTTTTCCTCGGGCGTCGTCTAGCCATCGTTGCTGGTGGCCTCTTTAGCACTCTGGGCATGGTAGCTGTGAGTGCCAACGATGACCTCCGTTCGGCGTTACTGATGCCTGGTATTGGTTTGCTCGGTGCTTCGTGCGGTATTCTGCTACCGTCTCTGGCTATCTACATCTTTGAGATTTCCACGAAAGAGATGCGCGGCAAGGCCGTGTTGTTGTTGGGCTTGGGCTTCGTTGCTGGCAGCTTGCTGGGAGGTATTTTTGCGACGGTGAACCAGTTGGGATGGATTTGGCAAACATTTGCCGCTTGCATTATCATTGCGCTGGTCACACCGGTGGTGAATGTGTTTCCAGAGAGTCCGTATTGGGTACTGGATCGCAAGGGCTGGGATGCGTGCGAAGCATGTTTGGTGATTTTGCGACGCAAGCCTGATGTGCAGGAAGAGCTCAAGATCATGCGTGAAGAGGAGACTGCTGACGACACTGGCGCAGGCGCCTTCAAATTCCTCATCGGTCTATTGCTGATGCTGGTGTCGTCGCTGACCACAGGCTTCCTCAACGCCTTCATCAGCTACAAGGCAGCTAGCGAGTACACTGATCAGGACCAGCTGTTTGTGAACGGCATGGCACTGCAAGTCTCGGGCGCTGTGATCGCCTTCTTCTTCATCGACAAGTTGGACCACAAGTCCATTTTGTTTGGAACGCTCATCCCAGTGGGTACCTGCGCGGCTCTGCTGGGTTTCAACGAGTCGTCCGACTTTCTCGGCGATCCAGGGGGTTCTGGCTTGTACGTCAGCCTGGTCGTTATGCTCATGTACTTCTTCATGGGATTGGGCACGAGCTCTGCGCCGTGGTCGGCCTGCGTCGGCATGTTCAACACCCGCGGTCGGGCCTCATCGACCACGGCGCTATTTTCAGTCTTCTTCTTGGCGGACCTGGGCTACGTGTACATGCACACGGTAGAGTCCCTCATGTCGAAAGAATACCTGCACCTGTACGCCATTGCAGGTTCCTGCGTCGTATCGCTGGTGCTACTGATGGGTGCAGGTACGAAGAATAACGGCGTCATTTGCACAAAGGGTGAAGCCAAGCGCGACCGTGAACGCGTCGCCCGCATGCGCGCCGAGCGCGGCAGTCGCGCTACGCGGACCCATGGAAGTGCTCGCCAGCGAAACCTCAGCCGTGTGCGCTCCAAGTCCAACGGAGGTAGTCAGCGGGGAAACCCTGCGGGTGGCGGCTACCAGATGTACGAAACGCCCGCGAATGCCGCGCCGCCACTCATGCACGCGCGTGCTTAGTGGGCTTTTAACAGGCTATAGCTTGTGTATGTATGTAGACATTTTGTCCAGGCGCCTCGTTTGTTTTCGACATACACTTTGCGTCATTACAGTCTCTTGAAAACGTTTTAGCTGACCGGCGGCTGGCACCGCCTGTGCAGGCGATTCCGATCTCATTTTTATTCCCTAGCGACAAAGGCAAAGAAACGCCACAGCACGTGGCAATCGCTGCAGTGTCGTCCTCGTTCTTTTGCTCTCACCACAGCCAGAAGCAATCTCCACAGGTAGACCGCCGCGTAGGTATCGGTCGTAATCCGCAACAACTAGAATCTGTTCCTCATCCCCGAATGTCTCCAGCACGCCTTCACAGCTCATTCGCGTCAGCTAGTCACTGTCAGCGTTCCCCCGGGTGGAAGACCCATAACTGTCGAGTTGAGGCATCTTCCGCAAAATACCCCCAATGCCGTGCGTGTGGCAAGAGCTTCACAGCGTCGTGACAACTATCAAGTCTTTTTTGCACCTCATCGATGCATGGACCTCAAGTCACAAATTACGTCAATGGAGTTAGCAATAGCTCCCGCATGACGTGTCGAAAGCCCTTCGCGTTAACAGTTTGATACATGCGTGTAAACAAACCATCGTGCAATCGATTGGTTTTCCTCTGCTGGCAAATGGTTTATCCCCGAGCAAGTTCAGAACGAAAAGCATGAGGCAACTGTGCGACATCCTGCGTGACCATGTCAATCACTACAGCAGCTTTTGTACAGTATTGTGCGCTGCATCAGAAAAGTGCCTAAGACCGACGGTTCGCAACGGACATTGCCTCAGACGTTCCAAGCTCGATATTGTACGGCTTTTGTCGTATTCAATGAAAAGTCATCGAATTTTACGTCAACCTGTTCATTCTGAAGGCTTATCTTGATCACTCTCCACTGCTACCCACACCATCTGCCGAATCCACTGAGCGAAGCTGTCAGCATTTGCAACGCGTTATAGTCCAGCGACCTCAAATTTTACGGTCTCGCATTGCACTGCTCCTACTCTCGTGCACGATCGTGGCCAGTCGATTGCACCTCGTTGCGATACTTGCGAGTCTGACCGACAGATGCTGGTACGTCGATGACTCTGGTCAGCATACTGCCGCTGCAGCAGACGCGAGCAAAGCATAAGCATGCAGATAAAGCCATACACCGCGCTGGAAAATCTCGTCACATTACGTTCAGGTAGTGTGATTGTTGTGAATGGGCCGTCTGTAATTGCATGCATCCGACTGTCTCAAGTTTTGTAGATATCGTTACCAATACATTGATGGCCATTCGCTAGGTTGTTAGCTGTTGCTCTGCTTCTGCTCGACTGAAGTCATTAAATCGCGCATTGAGCTTTGTTGTGTTAAGCACGGATTACATCCGCGTTGCTCCAGTTGCAACGGATGTCGAGGCGACAGGGATACGAGAAGCCGAATCGATGATGTGTAGCTTTATGCTTGGAGCTTATCAAATGTAAATGGTAACGGACGTCACTTTAAGTTTCATGATTCTAGCCAACAACGGCGTGTAATCCAACATTGAGCGCAGATCAGGATTCATGCTGCCACGTTACAAAATATGAAGACCGGCGACCGTATTCATGCTTTGTTTACGCGTGGCTTTTGCAATGTCCTTCGCTCAAAAGAGAGCCCAGCTATAGTAATTGCTATATTGTGTATGTCAAAAGAACACATCCGGTATTGCCTCGTGGAGCAGGGGTACGGTACTGGCTTTTCATAGCTCTTAGCAAAGGAGATTGCAACGGTGTCATGAGCTCGTGCCGTATAGAGGCTTCGGCATTAGAGTTACGATAAGAATCACTTGGTTATGAGTTTGATTTGACTACGGAATGATGTCGACAAAGTGGAGAGTAACCACAAAGGACGGCCAATTGGAGGGCGTGGCCAACGCTAGATCTACTAAAATGCATGATGAGACTCGCGTTGGAAAACATGACGTGTTGGAATGTGCCACAGGCATGAATGCTCTCCCCGTACACCATAGCGCTAACGAGGAAAATGCAGTTTGAGAAACGCAAGTGAACGTTTAGCAGATTGTTCTAGCCCCACTCTCGATAGAGCTGGACTAGCGTATTATTCTATAAACAACTGGCATGGAGATAAGGAAGTAACTCAAAGACTGCTATAATGGAACGTGATGCTGTCACCCGAAAGAACCACGAGATTACTTCTCCAACAAGTTGATTGAGATGGCATGCAAACCAAATTGGACGTCGTGCAGCATATGAAGGTGTGTCCGTGATAAAGGAGCTATTAGCTGCGCCAAACGCTGGTGTTCGTGACCCGATTTTACCTGCGTATGCTGAATCAGTCGTCTCCTGCAGATGTGCCTTTTGGCCATCTTCGAGTTATGACATAGAGCGGGGATGACAAAGTGGATACATTACCAAAGCAAGAGGACCAAATCTTGCGCATGGACAGCTCCAACAAGTTTGACGTGAGACAGGTCTGCACGGTGCCATTGGAATATGCAAGGACAAAGAAGAAGTTCAGTTGCAAGGCCTAGCAGGAGCAATGGCCGAAGTGCAAGTAAGCTCTGAAGAACATATTTTTCGGATACAGACGCCACCACCTTGCACCAAGTTCAAGAGCAGACAAAGAGCAAAGGAACTACTCTATCTGTCATAGGTCTCAACAATGTAGGATCAAGTGTCTGTTATGAAAAAAGACGGGAGCAAATGGAAGGGATGCAGCTTTTGCGATGAGACTAAAGTTGATGAGACCGAAGACCTAGGACAGCCGGTCAAGTGAATCGAAGCAACTTGTGAAAAGCAAGTAACAACGCTTGGATTGACCCAACTGAGAGTACGGAAGCAAATGATAGGACGAAAAGGGCCAGTTATGGGCAAAGCAACCGTCTCGTGTAGGAATGGTGGTTTGACGATGCTGCAAAAGTCCATATGCCATCCGACTTGCGCTGCTCCATTCATTAAGAGACAATTTCTTACGGCATAGAATTTGATAGCGTGTATGGCTTTTACAGGAAACATATAACGACACCGATCGGCCATGGTACAGTACAGCTGGAAGATTGTTCACAGCAGGAGTCGTGAAATTTCACGATCTCACGTTTACATTACTTCGCATAGTAAGAAGTTAATTATGTGTTCAAAGCTAAGGACCAAGGTGTCTTCGTGAAGTACGGTAACAGAAATGGCGAAAATCGTTCGAGTTTTTCAAGACGAACGAGAAGATACTGAACAATTTAAGGGAAAGCTGCGATTTGTTCACATGTATTGTAAACAATGCATTCTTGTCAGTCAATACGGACGTTAAGGAGTTATGAAACTGCCAAGAGGCGTTTGCAATATACGCGCGGAGAAGGATACGCCAATGTACAGCGATGACACAAGAGGCTCAGATATCCAGATCCTTAGTATGTCAGGATTATGGTAGAACGCAAAATAGTGGACGGAATGTCAATAGGCAAGCGTGTGTTTTATGATTGTAAAGCGTGTCATCTTGGAAGAGAGCGTAAACCATAACCTCCGATGAAGTTGGTAGGAGTAATCACTGACGAGAATCAAGTAAATTTCGTCGGCTTACTGTTACCGAAGAACATTGAGGCCCGAGAGCAAACAAGCCAGTGCTAGAGGTGGTGGATGAGTACTCACGATAATCAACTGTGTATACTATCGCTCGAAGAATGCGCCGGCGGTAATTATAGCTACGAGACGATACTTTACCCAGGCGGAACGATACTTTCCTCGACACAGTATAACATATGTGACATCTGGTGGCAAAAAAAAATTTTGTAACGAAGAAATGATGCTGGTACAGGAAGCAAAAAATAATATTTTTACACATCCACCACAACTTTACACACCCACCACATATGTACACGTAATCTGTGTGAGAGGGCGCACTAGCCCTATCTCACATAAGAAAGTAGATGATGGCTTCAGTAAGCCTGCCGACATCATTCTGGTAGAATGCGATAGTTATGGCTACGTTCGTACGAAACCGGACCAAAATTCGAATAACCGGACGTACTTTCAAAAAATCAGGGACCCGTCCTATCACATGATGATGAAGAAGAAGCCCATTCTGCATGATAGCAAGAAGAGTAAATCGATAGCGTTCTTTCGTTGAGCAAAGATCCCGGCCAAACAGAAGATAATTATTGCATAATTAAATTACGAGCTGACTATGTGGAAGGTCAGGCACGTTGTGCAAGTGTCGTTTCCCACAGAACGTGTCGTGAAGAATGTGATGAATGCATCTATCAACAAAGATATCACATACGCTGACTATTAAAGCGATGAAAACGACACATTAATTTCGAAATGGTAATCGAATCAACGCGGCAGTAGTGGTGTTAGACAATTCGATCGCAGACGTGACTCTGATGACTATGGCACGATAGAAGCTGAAGTAATGTCTGATTCCATCGAGTCAGTGCCAAATTTAAATGTTTGATGTTGTATCAGTATCAGAGGGCGTGTGTATTTAGAGGACGAAGAGTTTGGTGAAGCTCAAATGATGAGTATGCAATGACTCCAGCAACGTGCACTAAAACTGGCCAAACCGATTTACCACACGATATTGGCGCATTCAGGGATGATGAAAGTGTAAAAAAAGACGGCACCTGAAGTCAAAGACAAGTCGAAGATGCTTCTGAACAATGGTGCGTCGTAAAAATTCACGACGAACAAGATTATCGAATATATTGTACGGGAATAAATTGTGATCAATAAGATCACAAAGATTATACACATTTATGTATATATGCTCATCGAACTGTCTATCAGTGATGGACGAAGACAAGTTACAAGACTAAACCACTCATTGTACCTGATTCGGATAACCAACATCATATTTGCGGGATATAGCACCAGGTAAAACGTCTAAACGATCGATACATATGTTGTTCCAGAAATCTTTACTGGAATACAAAGCTACTCACTTAGAGCTGAACTAGATGTAAAAGTGTCGAAGTGGCGAAGAAAATGTCACATATTGTTACGCCTTTCTA